AGAAACGTGGAATCCCTGAAGATGACCCCAGTGAAGAGATAGATGGCCCCCATTCAATCTCCTAAAACAACCTGCCCGAGGTAGATCAGAAGACACAAACTTCCCTCCGTACGGGTCCGTCCCACTCAAGCCTGCCCTTCCTCCTGAGCCCTCCACTGTTCACTCATTCTGCAGACACATGCTTTCAACACTGCCTGGGACTGTGCTGGTGCAGGGATGCAGCTGTGAGGGAAAGCAACGCTGGCCTTTGTCCTCCTGTGACACATGCCTCAAAGGCAAGTTGAAGAGAAAACCAGTAAGCAGATATTCCCATATATGATGGCACCTCTGAAGTCCTCTCATGGTACAGATTTGTGGAGCCGGAGAGGCAGTCACGGTGCCCTGCTGAGGTGGTGACATTCTGGGCAACACAAGAGCGATGAGAGTGTCACTAGCTGACAGACTTCCAAAGCCCGATTTCTTAGCGCCATCCCCGATTTGTTTTCCACCACTCTTCAAATTTCGTTTCTTTCTGGAGGGCAGAGGTCAAGGTTGGGTAGCCAGACAGTTGGCTCTGGGCGGACCTGTGAGTCCTATAGAGAGGCTTTCAGCACCTTGGACAGCGGCTGGGTGATTGGCCCAAAGGATCTTTCCTGTAAAGGTACCCAGCTGATCTGTGCCAGGCTGGGCTACCGTGGGGTCAGGAGCACCAATATCTGCCACCTGTTAACCTCACTCTGCCAGCTGCAGAGAGACCTTGAGCAAGTCGGTTTCCCTCTATGTGCCTCAGTTTCCTGATCTGTGCATTTGTGGTGACATTGACATTACTGGTCTTGAAGGGCCCTTCCAACCCAATGAATCCATTTTGGAACGGTAGATGTGATTTGATTCAATTCAGCAATTACATCTGATCCTCGGATCTTGGTGGCTTAGAGAGAGTTCAAGACAGTGATTCCTCACTGAGGGATGGGTGAGATAGGGCTGGAGGAATCCGATGTTAAATATGCTCGTGTTTTGATATCCGGATTTTAAAGGGAAAAGAAATCACATCTTTGGGGACCCTCCTGTGGTCACACACTCTGCTAACCTTGGGAGGTTCCCAGAAAATGGAAACCACAGAACCTGCTACCACCCTGTGAGTGGGGCCTTGGACAAATCTTTTCCCACCCATGGGCCTTGGTTTCTCCATTTGTGAAGAGAGGCTCTCAAACCCAACCCACTTCTAGTGCTTCCAGAACTGTGTTCTTTCCACATCCATCTGTGTCTGAGATTGGATAGGGAAGGGCTTCTCTGCAGGGTGCCTGCTGGGCCTGCCGACTCCTTTGTAGCTTTCATCCATTTGCAGGCTCGGAGAGGTGAAGTTGCTGTCAGAAGCCACACAACTTAAAAAAAAATTCACACAATTTGCACGCAGTGAAGGCTGGGTTTGAACCTTTGGCTGTTAGACCAAAGGACAGTCTCCCCAGCCACCTGCCATCACCTGAGCCTTCACCCAAAAGAGGAGAGTTTGAGCAAAAGCATTTTGCATACTGTACAGAAGCTCAGAGCAGGTAGAGCAGGTGCATCCTAAGCGCAGGAATCTCTCCTCTTCCTCCACGGTTTCTTCATTTGTTTAAAAAGAAAGAAAAAAGAGTCAGTTTGGGACCTGCTCTGTGCTGGGCCAGGGGCTGGAATCTCAGGGCTCCAAGATGAAGCAGATGCTGGCCCTGCTCATAAAGATGCCTCCCATCCCCAGGTTTGTTGGGGAGACCCACGCTGACCTGGCTGTTACAACACAAAGTGACGAGTTCAGGGAGAGAGTTATGCAGCCTGCTGAAGGGCACAGGGAAAGGAGTAAAGCCTCCATTTTTCAAATGCTGCCTGCTCTAGGAAGCATTCTACAGGGCCGTGGAATGCTTCCCAGAGCAGGCAGCATTTGAAAAAATCAGGGAGTCAACAGCCGGAGAAGAGCAGGGAAGGGCGCTTGTACCCAAGGGATCAGCCTATGCAAAGCCATGGAACAGAATCATGGAACAAAGACACAGGCTGGGAACAGCCTCTCGTGGGCTGAGTGCAGCCTGAGAGATGCTACTTGGCCTGCAGATTGTTGAAAATACATTTGAAACCTTAACCGTCATCATTTAAAAGCCAGGAGGTTTTGTTCTGAGATCCACGTTTTCAGTTTCTTTGAAAGTTTTGAAGATCCAGCTGGGCGTGGTGGCTCACACCTGTAATTCCAGGGCTTTGGGAGGCCGAGGTGGGAAGATCACCTGAGGTCAGGAGTTCAAGACCAGGCTGTGCAACATAGCGAGACCCCATCTCTACAAAAAATAAATAAATAACTAGCCAGGGATGGTGATGTGCACCTTCAGTCATAGCTACTCAGAAGGCTGAGGCGAGACGATTGTTTAAACCTAGAGGCTTGAGGCTGCAGTGAGCCATGATGATGCCGCTGTGCTCCATCTTGGGTGACAGAGTGAGACCCCGTCTCAAAAGAAAACAGTTTAGGAAGGTCTGAGCCCACATTCTCCATGGTAACAATTGGCACTGTCTCTGACTCACCTCATCCATTTACATTGTCTGCTTGGGCCCATAAGACATTTTGAGTTGAGATTCCTAATCTACAACACAAGGCCCGGGAGAGAAGGGAAATGGGTGGGGGGCCCTGGTGGGCTGCTGGGGCATTCCCCTCTTTACACACACACTGTAAATGACTCTGAGCCCCAAATGCCTCTTGGGTAGCCAGAGAAAGGGAGGAGGGCCCCAGTCCTCAGCATCTTGCCCTCTGCATCCAGGGGACAGAGAGCCTGATTTTAACTCAGGGAAGGACAGGGATTGTGGCCTTTCCTTTTCCTTGAAAAATACACTCTCACTTTCTTTCTGTTCTGATGATCTCTCCACGGCTCTGGTTTTCGGCCACTGTGCAAGCAGTTGAAATTATGCCTAAATGCTCATTTAGAAAAACAATCGTACCTTTCCGTGCACCAAATATTTGCTTCTAGATTAAAAAATAAAACAAACAAACAAAAACAACAACAACAACAAAAAACCAAACACCTCTATCTTGGCAGCCAACACTTCCAAAGTATGCAATGGTTTCCATGACTGAGGCCAAAACAAATGTGTTTTTCTGAAGCCAAACGATTCCAAAATGTTTGCAAAATGTTTCCCACTCCTTAATAAATATAGTAAAACTTGCAAAACACTAACACTAAAGAATATTAAAAGCAGAAAGAAAAAAAGTGAAAGCCAAAAAAATGACTCCCCACCCCAGCTATGGACACAACCATCTTCCTCTTTGACTCTTGTCATGAAGCCTTGTTATTAGAAAGACTCTCCTGATAATGAGAGCTGCTTTGAGGATGGAGAAGGAGCAAGGAGCTCTCCATCCCTAGGGCATGCAAGTAGGAGCTTAGCTTCACTAGGAATTCCAACCTCAATGGGCTTTCTGCGAAGAGCCTGTCTCACCCTAAAGTATGACAAGTATGTCTGAGAATCAGAGTAGGAAAATGAAATTATAGGGAACACATTTTTTTAAATGCTGAAATTTGGAATCGGGGGAAAGTAATTCAATCCAGCTCCATCATAGCTGTGACTTCTAAAGCATCTGCTAATCTTTACAGAGCCTCGGCTCCCTCATCTGTAAAATGGGCAGAACCTACCTCTGGAGCTACACATGCTCAGGAACTGTTCATTTTCTCCGTTCTCCCCTTCACTCCCAGCCCCACTCCACCACACCAGCCCTTTCCCTTAGTTTCCCACCTTCCAGCTCCACCTCCACTGGTCCACAGGGGTGCATACATTCTGGGCTCAGGCATTGCTCCCCTGGGCTTGGGATCTAACGGGGGTGACACTGGCAGAGTGTGAGCTGAGGATGGGTGCTCTGGGATGAGGGAGATGCCTGAGTGCCAGGGGGAGGATGTCAGAGGGGGCTTCCTGGAGAGCTGAAACTCAACCTGGGTCTTGATTTGATTTGGCAGGAGGTACAAGGACATTTTAGGCCACCGCATGAGATGGGAATGGTTCTGGTGCACCAAAAAGACTTTGAAGAGACACTTGAGGGATTACAAGGGAGTGATCTTCCAAGAATTGCTAAAAACACGAAAGAGTGAGAGTGGCAGAGGGGAAGAGCCTTTCCAGCCCTTCCCCTTGTCCGGTCCACTAAGCATGGTAGACAATGGCAGGTGCCCCCTGCTCGGTGCACAGGGAGTTTCTCAGAGTCAGCTTTGGGCACACCCATGTCCACACACACAGTTGCTGCGGTCCAGCGAGGACTTGGGGACCTGGGAGACATCTGCTCTTGTTCCCCCTCTAATATCCCTCCACAACAGCTCCTGAACACATATAAGGCAAATGGGGTGCTCAGGGAGGCCTGCTTGTGGGCAGATGGCAAGGTGGGGAGACAGCTGCAGGATGACAGGATGGTGGTGGATGACGGCTGCATAAGTGTGCGGATTTGCTGAGGGGTGGGTGGTGGAAGGGAAGGATGGAGGGAAAATGGGCGGGCAGATGGCAGGAGTGGGGGCATGGCTTTATGTGAGGTGGGTGAACGTGCCTGCAGGGGGTGCTATCATGGCTGTTGGGTGGGCCTGGGGTGGATATGGGGATGTTTTAGGTGTAGGCAGATGTGTACATGTAAAGGTGTGTTATTGGGTGGTAGGAGGATGGTTGGGTTACTGGGTGGTAGGAGGGTGACTGGAGGAGTGGTGCACCTGTTGGCAGGTGTGAGGTGCATGAGCGGGTTCTGGGTTGGAGAGGGTGTGAGCAGAGTTGTGGATACATTGGAGGCTTGATAAGTGGATGGCAGCAAATATTGGCAGATACATGACTAAGTCATAGGTGTGTTGGTGAACTGGTGGGTGACTGGGTGGCTGACAGGGGAGGGATGGGTGGAGAGCTGGCAGTGTTGGGGCATGGGTTGGTAGACAGATGGGATGTGTAAATGAGGGTGAGTGATGGATGTGTGGGTGGGGGGCAGTGGGTAGACAGGGTGTGGGTGGAGGAAGGTGGCTTTCAGCACTGACCGCCTTGTCTCCTGGCAGGACACCAGCCACACATGGTGGATTCCTGGCCCCGGAGCTCCGCACAGGAAGCACCAGAGCTGAACCGACAGTGCTGGGTCTTGGGGCACTGGGTGTGACCAAGACCTCAACCCGGCCCCCGGACCTCAGGCCATCGCTGGCACCAGCCCCTGCTGCAAGACCTCCAGAGTGGTGCCCCCAGAACCTTGGCCTGTGTGCCGTGAACTCAGTCAGACTGCGTGGGAGATGCCAGGCCTGTCCTGCCCATCACTGCCTGGGCCCGAGGGCCTTGAAAATGGGGCCAGGGCAGGCCCAAGGGAATGCACAGGGCTGCGCAGAATGACTTTGGGACAGCAGCCCCGGACTCTTGCCATCACCACATGAGGAGCCCTGCTGGGCACAGCTGCGATGCCAGAAGACACATGGCCACTGGCCACTGAATGACTGGCACCCACAAGCCAGTCAGGTGCCCAGAGGGGCAGAGCCCTGTGGGGGGCAGAGAGTGGCTTCCTGAAGGAGGGGGCAGTGGTGCAGGCACCGCAGCGGTGTCACACAGCAGGCACACAGCAGGGGCTCAATAAATGCTTGTTGAACTTGTTTTCTTGCGGTTTATGGAGGCCAGTTGCTCTCTGGGCTGTGGCTGCCCCGTCATTGCCCCACCCCATGACTCCTCAAGGAGGCTGAAGGTGACAGCAAAGACTGTGCAGAGGCCAGGGCCAGACACTGAAGGATGGCAGGGAGGGAGCGCAGAGCCCAGGCTGGAAACAGGCTGGCAGGGCTGCCTTGGATTCCAGAGAATCGGCAAGGCAGGGGCCAGGCAAGCAAGAGACGTGGGGCAAGCAAGAAATGGGCCCCCAAACCCAAGCCCTAAGCAGAGAGGGTGAAGAAGCCACATTTCTCTTCAGAGCTCAGCGACATCACACCACCCTGACCCTGAGGAGCCTTTACCCTGTGCCTGGCACCACCTTTACAGAAAATCCCAGGGCTTAGATGCCTGGAGAAACAGATTCCTACTATAAAGAGGAGGGAAATTAGGGTCACAGAGATGAAGTCACTTGCCTGAGATTACAGAGCTAGCAAATGGCAGAGGTGGGGTTTGAATCAGGACTCCTGACTCCAAGTTCAGTCATTTCCCAAGAGGCCTTATTCCTTCCCAGAAGAATTTCTAGAGCTTTCCCCCAAGTAGAATACATTCTTCTCCTTTATCCATCCATCCATCCATCCATCCATCCATCCATCCATCCATCCATCCTCCATCACTCGTCCAGCCATTATCCATTATCCATCCATCCATTCATCATTTGTCCCTCCATCTATCATTCATCCATCTATTATCCACCCATTCATCATCTAATATCCATCCATCCATCCTTCATAATTCATCTTTCCACTCATCCATCTGTCATTCATCCATCCTTCCATCCATCCATCCATCATCTATCCATTCATCCATCCATTTGCCATCCATCCAGTCATTCATCAGCTATCCATCGTCTATCCATCCATCTATCCATCATCCAGCCATTGTTCATTATTCATTCATCCATTTATCATTCATCCCTCCATCATCATTCATCCACCTATTACCCACCCACTCATTATCTATTATCCATCCATTGTTCATCATCCATCCATCATTCATCATCCATCCATCCATCCTTCATCCATCCACCCATCCATCCATCCATCATCTATCCATCTGTTATCTATCCATTCATCCATCCATTCATCACCCACCCACCTATTCATCAGTTATCTATCCATCATCCATCCATCCATCTACCATCTATCCATTCATTGTCTATCCTTTCCCCCATCCATTCATCATCCATCCACCCGTTCATTAGCTATTTATCCATTATCCATTCCTCCATCTATCCATCATCAATTCATCCCTTATCCATCCAACCATTATGTATTTCTTCATTTATCCATTGTTTATCCTTCCATCCATCATCCCTCATCTTTCCATGCATTATCTATCGATTCATCCATCTATCCATCATCCATCCATCCTTTATCCATCATTCATCAGCCACCATCCCTCTATCTATCCATTATCCATCGTCCACTCATCCATTCATCCCTCCATCTGTCCATTATTCATCAACCATCCATCCATCCATTATCCATTCCTGCATTATCCATTTATTCTTTATCCATTTCTCCATCTGTTCATCATCTATCCATCCATTATCCATACACCTATCCATCACCCATCCATTCCTTCATCTATCCATTATTCATCAATTATCCATCCATTCATCTATCCATTCATCTATCTATCCATCATCTATTGATTACTTGTCATCCTTCCTTGTATCAGACATCCATCCATCCTCCTTCCATGCATCACCCATCCTCATTACTCAGCCATCCAGCTGTGCATCCATCTATTCACTGATATAGTTCACTGTGTCCCTACTATGTGCCAAGCACTGTGGTAGGCACTTGAGGTAGGATGCTGGAGCATCCAGAGAGGGCGTCATGAGCCTGGGTTCAGATTCCACCTTCTCCACTTGTGACCTTGGGCAAGTTATTTGACCTTTCTGTGCCTGCTTCCTCATTCATTAAATCCGGATAATCATTATACCTACCTCTTCAAGCTGTTGTGCAAATTAAATGAGTTAACATATTTGAAGTGTCTAGACCAGAGCCTGGCACATGTAAACACTTTGTGGGTGTTTACTAACAGGACAACAAGGGGAAGTCAAGGCTGTGGGAGCTGTGGTCTAGGGAGGCTCCTTTGAGAAAATGATGTTTAAACCAAGACATGAAGATTGTCCGGGCATCAGGCAGGCAAGCGTATAGCAGGGAAAGAAAGTACATTAGAGGACTTTAAAATAGTCCGATGGCAGGTGTGAAGAGCAGGGAGGTCAGGAGGCAGTGGTGGGAAATTAGGCATCAGAGGGCAGTGGAACCAGGTCAGGAGGGACTAGAAACCTTGTTAGGGAGCTTAGAGTTTATCCTGGGGCAATGGGTAGTGGGCAGTGGGATGCTTTCAGCAGACTGGGATGCGCCTGGGTGTACATTTGAGGGAGATCACTGCAGTTATGGGCAGAGAATAGATGTGGGAGACGCCTCTCCCTTCCTCATCCCTGCTACACTCAAGAAAGAGAAGAAAGTGGGCTGGCTTAGGAAAGTGGCCCTGGGGAGGGGACCATGCAGGCAGATTCAGGAACCAATTAGGAGGAAATGGACTGAGGTGGGAGGAAAGGAAAGTTGGTGATGACTCTCAGGTTACAGGGTCAGCTCGGGGAACAGGGAAGATGGAGACTTCATGGTTCAGATGTCTTGAGTCTCAGGGGCTCAGGGCACACCCAGTTGGAGGTTTGTGCTCATTCACTCACCCATTGATTCATCAAGCGAACAATTTGTTAATTCACTTTCCATTCATTCAGTAAATATTAATGACCTACTAGGTGCGGCTTAAGGCAGGGCTGGAAATGGGCCTGGGAGAGCAATTATGGTCCAGCTCTACTAAGGCCTTGAATGTCAGAACAAGGAGTTTGGGCTTTGGCCTCATGCGAGAGAGGGTCACTGCCACATATGGGGCTGGACAGGGACAGATCCAGCAGGGATCTAGCCCTGGCCACCAGGCATCTCGGAGCTCTTATTCTCACCCGGGGTCCTTCTGAAGTTGGCGAGTGGACCACAGAAGGTCCAGAAGATGGTTTTAGTTGACATATGGGCAGAATTTTAATCTATTTTAATAGTTGTGTTTATGTCAATGTGTATTAGAAAAAAAATGTACAGTGGGCACGTCAGTGCTATGATTTCACAGACGTTACTGCTTAGGATGAAACCAAAATAGGCATTTAAGTAAAAAGAAAAAAAGAGTTGGCTTAAAGAAAACTATTAAATAAACAATTGTGCAAGTCGTATGTGGTTATGATATGTGGACAGCTCGAGCGACAGCCATTGTCATGGGGCAAGGGAGAGAGATCGGAGGCTCCCAGGGCCACTGAGCTTCAAATCCTCTGGTCTCCTTCTGGGCACCTCCTGGGCAGGGGCTGAGAACCAGCTGTCTGTCAGTCTCATGGAGACTGCAGCAAGAAAGCTGCTGGTTAGATAAGAGGAAGCACTTCTAGGCAGGCTGGGTGAGTACTCCCAGTGGGTTTACTCCGAGTTCGTATGAGAATTTTCTTTATGCAGGGAGTGAATACCAGCGTCTGCCTGAATGTGGAAGGTGGGAGTCACCATCCAGTTTGAAGGCAGGGGGTGCCTGGTTGAGCACCCAGAGGCCTGGATGGGAAAGAAAAGGCCCCTCCCCGACCTCCGCAGACAGCTTTCCCAGCTACCCCTCCCCTGCGCTGCACTGAGCAGACAGGCTCCGACCATGGAGGGAATGGCTGTGTGTGTGTCTTTGGTCTTGACACCCATATATATCGGCGTGACCCACAGCCCAAAGTGCTTACACAACCTCGTTGTGCCCTGGGCACCTGTGTCCCGTGTCTCTGCATCCACACGCCCTGGGCTCGTGTGTACATGCCAACCTTACCGTGGCCCAGTCACACAGACCCATGATCATCAGAGACTGACTGGCTTAAAGCGCTGACCCTACCCTCACCCCCCTACATACACATACACATTGATATTGCTCAAGTGTGAGTCAGCACCTTGTATGTACCTAGGTGCTAACTGCGTGTCTACTGCTCATCCACACCGTGTGTTCTGTCGACCTTGTGCACACACACTCATGTGTGCTTTGCCGGCCCTGGATGAAATGCCACACGTGTGCTGATGCTGAACAAACATGCTCATGATACACGGACGGCCCTGGGCACACACCTGTGTCTGCACATGCTCCGTGCTTCTCTTGTTGCTTGTTGGCCCATGTCACCCCCTTTCCCCAGCTGCAGAGGACCCATGAGGCCACAGTCCCTTCTCTGGCCAAGGGCTGATGGGCAGGCCTGGGCCTCCGTGAGTAACTGGGCTGCCTTTCCTCTTCGGCTGGTGGCTGTGACGGGCACGCATCCCTGCCACCCCCGCCAAAGCCAGCCATCCCGGCCACACACTCGTCTCCCTCGGGTAATGGAAATGTCAGCTTGATTCATGGAGATTCATCTGCGGCAGCCGGGCCTAACTACGAGGCACGCGGCGGGAGGATCATCCCCTGGGAAGAGCCGCTGCAGCGAGGGTGCCAAGTCCCTGCCTGGGAGGACGTGAGGATGGAAGAAAGCCCCCGAAGCTGTGCATTTAGACAGGCCTGGGTTCAAATCCCGAGGCCACCGCAGACCTGCTATGTGCCTCATTTATCCAAGAACTAGTTATGGAGGGACTTCCGTGTACAGAAACAGAGCTGTACCCTGGAGTGGCCATGGTGAACAAGAACGACAGACACTATCTTCACCCTCATGGAGGCTAGATTATTAATAATTCTAAATAGGCCAGGTGCATTACAGCTCATGCCTGTAATCCCAGCACTTTGGGAGGCCAAGGCAGGCAGATCACTTGAGGTCAGGGGTTCGAGACCAGCCTGGCCAACAAGGCGAAACTCTGTCTCTACTAAAAATGCAAAAATGAGCCGGGTGTGGTAGCACACACCTATAATCCCAGCTACTCGGGAGGCTGAGGCAGGATAATTGCTTGAACCAA